TCTACAAATACAGTACATGGCTGACAGAAAGAACAAATAAGAAAAGTCATGACTGTACAAAAATCAAAAAGTACAAAAATATTTATAACTGATTAGACTCTGAACTCTAGTCCAAGATCTCCTCCCCTTTACCAGAACCTGAAAACCACCAGAAAACAATGGTGAGCTCAACAGCTCAGCAAAGCGACAAACCTCCAATCAAAACTTCAAGAATCCAAAACCAACCACTTCAAACCAAATCCGTATAGAAACCAAAGCCCTAAATCCGCCATTGCTATCACTATCTAATTTTGGGGCTCTTTTGTTCCAGGTCTTTAGATGTAAAGCCTTTCAAATGTAATATGGTTTTAGATGTAATTATTTGGTTGGATGAAAAACAAATAAAAAACTAAAAAAGTTGAAAAGTTGGAATTGAATACTTAGCTCATTTCTAGTATATTTCTAAATTATTCAATTTGACCAATCTTTGAATACACACATCTTTTTGAAATGTTGTTGCCTGTTGCTAGCTAACATCTCCAATCATCATCATTAGCTTCCATTGATGTTTGTCGGCCTCCATTGCTAGACAATATCACCTATCACCATTTGTTGGTTGTAACTGCTGCCATTACTTTGCTATCACCATTGTTGGGCCTCTATTACTAATTGTCACCCCAAATCACCAACCACCATTGCCATCATGTGTCACCTATCACGTATTTGCATGTTGCGCCAATAATCCTTAGCCATCCCCTCGACTCGCTCTAGGGTGTTGGCCACAACTGCCAGCTGTCTCTATCAAATACTAGCTATCATTACTGATCAATGTTGTCATTGGCTACTTTAACTAACTTCGCGGTCATTTTATGGCCACCACCATTGCTGATTTTGCCGGCCACTACCCTCAGCCATCGCCACTGCAACCACCTAGCGTTGCTTTCTCCGTAGTCGCTATTTCCTATTGTTAGGCTTTACACTAATTCATTTTACTTAAAAAAATATTTCCATTTATTAAATAAATTAACTAATATATTTTGAATACTTTAAATTATTTTGCACTATAGTTTGAAAACTCTAAATATCTGCAACTAAACGAACTTATTGTATTTGCATTGCTATATTATATTAATGTAAAATTTTGATCCGTTGTTTAATAATTGTTATATAGAATTTTTTAATTAGCTATAATTTACAAATAATTGACCTTACGGTCCTTACCTTCTTAAGTTCTATATATAAAAGTGCCACGCATGCTTTTTTTTTAAGATTTACATAAATACCACAATCACCGATTTCTTTTGCCTTTAATATTTAGATCAGCTGATATAACACTATAAATTTTAAATTATATAAAAAATATAAGTAACATTAAATTATTTAGAGTAAAATACATATTCTAATGTATATATTTTGATAGAATTTAGACATCAAATATTATATATAAATATTGAAAATTAGACATTTAATATGAAAATATAGGAAAATTATTTTATATTTTGTGTACTTATTTGAAGCAATTGAATATGTAATATTTAAAATTAATATTTTCATGTCTTTATTTTTTAAATTTTAATTTAAATATTATAATTCATTATAAAACATTAAAATGTTAATTCATAGATTTTGTTAATTCCTAAAAAATTAATCTCAATATTAAAAAGTTGATATAAATATTAATTTTATAAATAAGAAAAATGGAGCGACATGTACGTTTACTTTTGGTAAAAAGAGGGCTGATATGTACGTAAATATCGGTTTTTTTAATTTTTTTTCATCTTATTATCTTATTATTGGGTTGCTCTCACCGTGGTTTACATAATGGATTCGTTGCCTCTGCAATTCTCCGGCCACCTCATTTCGTCACCGACGATCCTCGTAAGAAATTAGGTCCTTTTACGCTCATCCATTTTTTCTGTTTCCCCTCCTCCCACCCCGCTCTCGCAAACTTAGCAAATTGTTGTCGTAGCTCCGTCGCCAGAGCTTTCCGCTTGCAATTTCCTATCTTCCGGTGTTTGCTCGTCAATGGTATAAAGCTTCCTCTCCAGAGAACATTGTAAGGTTTCTTCCATGCTTCCGCAACGATGCCAGCGAGGTATGTTATTTAATACGTCTTTTTTCGTTTTCTACTGAATCTTGAGTAACGATTCCTTGATTTTAATGTTTTCCGTAGCGAATGTTAAGCCTTGGTTCGATTGAAGAAAATTGAAGGAAATGAATGAAATGCAAACAATTTTTGTTTGCTAATTATGAATATGCAGCTACTAATTTGAGCTTTTCATTTTTTTTTTCATTTACTTTAACTCTAATCCCCAGCATCCAAAAACAGCCTAAAATTTCACCCTTACAGTTACAGTGACTGCACTTTCTATGGTAGGTTCAGGCTGTTCATATTAGGGATGTGAATGAATTCTCTCAGGAGACGAGTGGTAAGCAGTGGTTTTCTGTCTTAATTTTTCTGGTAATTTGTTAGATGCTAATGATTTGTATAATAGTTTGATTATGTATCATTGTATTTACTTGTTGCCCCTGTTTCTTTTTTAAAGGTTTGGATAAAGAGAATGGAAAGGAATCTGCAAAAAAGTTTTCATCTACTGAGTACTCACCAATATCCTTTTGTTGCAACAATTTGATTTCAATTGCATGCTATGTGCTTAGAAATTGTTTGATTGAAATGTAGTGATCCTCTTGCAATGTAGAAAAATTTATAATTAAAATTGTTTTACAATTGCTTTTAACTTTTTGCCTAATCAAAGATGAATCATGATGGATTATTGAATTTAACAAGCCAAACATTAAAGTTAATTTATCCGAATTGTAAGTACACAACTGTAAAAGGGGTGATTATGAGTGTGAAGTTATGAATGCTTGTGAGCATTATACCTAATTAATATAATGAAAAGGAAATTCTATACCAGAATAAGGTAATTATGAGTGTGAAGTTATGAATGCTTGTGAACTTTTTTTCTTAGATGTGAGAAAGGCTTAACAGGCTTGTTTGTTAACTAGGCTTTCTTCAAAGTCACTTTATTCCTCTTATAATTTGATTTATGAAACAACCGTTGTTATAGATACATAAGTTGAAATCACAACATATTTTTAGATTTATAAAAATATTGGTTCTAGAACTGGCTTAATGATTTCTCACCTACTCATTGATGTTTTCCCAATAAAAGGTTTTGAAGTTTTATTTTTCCGATATCTAGAATCCTAATCTTCATGCATGCAGACAATTTCACAATTTCAAAAATTCATTCAGTTGCCAATTTCACATGCAACTAAACCCAAATGTGCCAATAGATCATCTAACTATTGAAGGCTTGATGAAAAATATGAATATTTTAGCACTTGCTAAGAATTGTGGTATCCATTCAATTGTAATACTTTCTTGCTTCGAAAACAAACATGGTTGTCTTTGTGGAAATTGTGATGATTGAATGATAGATGGATGTTTCAACAACGAATATGACTGATAGATGAAGTGTTTTGGGGATTTTTTGGTGTGCGATTTCTAAATTTCCTATTTGATGTTCATGACAAAGAGCAATGATTAAAAATAGTGGGACAAAAGGGTATATTTTATCTGATTCGTTCAGCTTGTTATGCAACTAGTTTAAAGTGGGAAGAGGCCTATATAATTATATATTATGAAATAAAACGCCATTATATGCCAAATAATGCTTAGATTATTGTGTATTGTGCATTTATGATGCATTTTTCTTGCTCTACCCTTTTCAAATACAACATACATTAGTAGTTGTGAAGTTATTTTTGTATTAAGGAAAAGAGATTTGGGATTTTATTGCTTTTACATGAACTTTTGGCATCTTATCACGAAGACATGGATTTCTTTTTAACCATGCCTTTATGATTTTAAATGGTTCTTACATGTTCTCTTTCATTGCATGAACTTGAGGTTTGTAAGACCGGTCCTTCACATTTGCATATTGTTATTTGCTTCATAGTTCATTTCGAGGATCACTTAAATCCCTTCCATATATCTTTCCTAATGACGCTTATTGAAAGTTTGCTCTTGTTTGTTATTTGCTATTAGAAATTTAGAATTGGCAATATGCTGATTTTGTGATATCTCATGTTACAACATACTAGCACCTGATTTGGTGTTTTCCCTTTTTGTGGTTCTCATTCTCCAATTGACATAGTCTAGTATTGTTTTTATTAAAGAGGGTGTTTACTATTTTATGTGTTGTAGGGTATTTTCTTAATTGTTGTTTCGAGGGCTTGTGGTCAGCTCTTTCCTTTTGTACTTTTCTTATTAATCGATAAGATTTTTAGAATTTTATTCTTGGAGTGTGAATTCATTGTACTTGGAGAGGCGAAGAGGAAAGGCCGATGGTTTAGTGGAGTCCTGACTCCAACATAATCGACTCATTGGAACTCTGATTATTCTCACATGAGAGGGATAGCTGCTACAGGGAAGGCAACGACATAACTTCTTTCTAGTTGGTATGGTAGAACAATAAAAGTGTAAAAGTCGGCTGAACATGTTCAGTTGAATTGATTCAAATGAACCATTTTCCCCAAATTGGTGTAGGTTCCAACATAATTGAGTAGACAAATGCAACTCCTCATGCAAACAAGTTGGCTTTTATCTATTCTATGAAATCGAAGTTAGAGAAAAGAGAGTGGACGATCGAGTCGGCACTGGATTTGGTTCTTGTTGGAGACAATTGAGAATAATAAGAAGGGTTCGTTTGTATCAATCCTGTTCGACAAATATAAAGGAAAAGGGAGCGATCGAGCGAACAAAAAATATCCAAAGGAAGATACTATTGTTGCATTCCTTATTGAAACTCAAGTGCCAAAATCGGAAGAGGGAAGAAGAAGTGTTTTCACTAGAGTCAGAGGCCGGAGAATGAGAAAGGAGTTTGTGCGATCAATGAAAGAGACGAAGGGGAAATTGAATGTTTCAAACTATTTGACAGCTTTGATTAGAGACAAAGAAGAAGAAATGAAATTTGTTTGACTTGTTTGTTGAAATCTAAACCATAAAAGAGGAAGTGTCGTGCAATCTAGCTCATTGAAGTCATAGATAAAGAGGAACAGATAGAGTAAGTGAACCTCTTGTTTAACGTAGAAAAGAAGAGGTTTATGATTTTAATTTAATTGAATTAATTTGTGCGATTGTGTTTATCAGGGAAGGAGCATGCAATTAGGTCTATGTGATCTCTTTAGATGAAGAAGAAGAACAATTGAAGTAATAAATTAAATTAATTTAAATGCATTATGTTCTTTTATGATAAATAAATTATAAAAAAATTATTTAGAAATGTGATTTAATAATTTCATCATTTTTAAGTTGTCTTTGACGACGTTCAATGCTTTCAACATCACCTTTGTGACATTCGATGCTTTCGATGTTGTTTTTTACAACATATGATAATTCTGAACTTATCTTTGACACTGTTCGACACCTTTAATGTTACTTTGGACGAAGGGAGAACTAAGAAGTATAGTTGAGGCAAGCATATTGAAGCCAAGGGAGTGTACTCTTTAATATTAATGTAAGAGATAAAGTTATATGGTTTAATAAGAAGATTAAAAGTAAATATATTTCTAAACGAGTTAAGTAAATTGACTTAAAACATGTACTTGATGTATATGTTATGAATTAAGGATGAACTAAGAATTAAAAAGCATTGAAGTGAAACGATACACCATCAAAAGGAATTGAGGTGGGCAATTATACTTTTATTTCATATTAATCACAATTCTATTCATGATTCAATGTATTTATTAATATGGCTCTTTGTATGTATGCTTACTAATACTACTTACATTACTTTATATTAACATGAAGAATCTTATGACCTTTATTAATGTATATTACACGTTAAATGTGAAAGCTTCCTCTTGAAATTCATGTATTTGCAAATTCAAATAAAAAAGCATGATGTTCAAAGGAATGTAGTAAAAGGAAAATAAATATGCATATAAATATAAGAGTTTAGTTCCTTTTATTAATTTTTGGGGTACTCAACAATAATATCATCAACAACAACAAGTTTTTATCCTACTACGTGGGGTTTGTTACATGAATCATTTATCTCCATTTTATCTTATTAAGAGTCAAATCCTCATTTAAATATAATAAAAAATGAAAGTTTTAATACTTTTTAATCAAGTCTTTGTAGGTCTACCTCTACCTTCCTTGACATAAGTCAGGTCTAATACATATACTCGTATAACAGGATCATTGGAAGGCTAATATTTTATGTGACCAAGCCATCTAAGGTGACTCTCTTTAATCTTATATGCAAGTAGAGCTACTCCAACCTTTTCATGTATGTACTCATTTCATATTTTGCCTCTAAGTGTAAAGCCCCTCATCCATTTGAGCATCCTCATCTCTGGAACTCTTAATTTTATACTTCTCTTTTAATAGCCAACATTATGTGCCATAAAGCATTATAAGTCTCACCATCATCTTATAAATTTTCCATTAAGTTTGAGTACTTTTTTATCACATAATTGACCCGAGATGCATTCCTCCACCTTAACCATCAAACTTGAATTCTACTAATAATATCCCATTTATTTCACATTCACTTTGAACAATAGACCTGAGGTATCTAAAACATGCACTCATTTTAATGACTTGATTAACAATGTTAGAATCCCACTGCTAGATCAATTATTACTAAAATTATACTTAATCTATTTGATTTTAGATCCACTTAAACCAAATTTTTTAGACATTATGGTTGACCTCTATAATTCCAAATTTTCATTTACTCCCTCTCTAGTCTTATCAACAAGAAGAATATCATCATAAAAATTATACACCAAGGTACATCATTTTGTAAATGTCTAGTAAGAACATCAATAGCCAAAATTAAAAGATATGGACTCAAAGCTAATCCATGATGTAGTCCAACTGAAATAAGAAAATACTTGGTCAAACCATCTTGTATTTGAACACATGTAACAATTCTTGTATGCATATCCTTAATAACATGAATATAAGCATTATTATTAACTCCTTTTTTTAACTCTCTAGAAAACATCTCTTGGAACTTTATCGTATACTTTCTCTAAATCAATAAATATTATATGTATATCCTCCTTACTGTTTCTATAATCCTCCATCAAACCTCTCAAAAAAAATTGTATCACTTCTATAGTAGACCTACCTGACATGAATCCAAACTGATTTTGAGAAACGTTAATATCACGTCATAGCCCATGTTCAATTATTACCCTAATTTTAATGTATGACACATTAACTTCGTTTCACTATAGTTCATACACTCTTGTGAACCGCCTTTATTTTTAAAAATTGGAATCAACACATTCGTCCACTCATCTTATATTTTTTAGTTTTCAAAATAATATAAAAAAGTTTAGTAAGCCAAGGAATTCTTTGATATTCTAAGCATTTTCACACTTCTATTGGAATATCATATGATCTTATTACTTTTTCACACTTTATTTCCTTAAAGCCTCTTCAATTTCAATTTTACTAATATGACGATAAAAATAAAATATTTATTTTTATTTAGGTTGCTGTGGTAACTAAAGTCAATCATATTCTTATAATCTTCATCGAAAAATTTATCATCCAACTATATTGAATATTCTTTTTTAAGAAAAAATATTTTTTTATCTTTATTTTTAATGCATTTCTCTTGAACTAAATCTTTAATTCTCTTATCTTTTTGTTTAACTAACTTATACATACATCTTTCGCCATCTTTATTATTTAATCTATTATATAAATCATTAAAGTTAAATTATTTGCATCACATATTATTTTCTTAGAATCCGTATAGGGCATTTTATATCTTTCCAATATTTTCAAGCTTTTACATTTAAACTATTTTTTATAGCAATTTTTTATTCAATGTTTGATGTTTTCTTGATCATTTTGATTTCATTGCCACCTATTTTTACTATTAGTTTTTTTTTTATAAATTCTACAAGCACATATTTTGCAATATTCTTAATATCATTAGCTATTTTCCCACATAATATTAGCTTTCTTATGAATAACCTAAATTTTAAAATCTTGAACATTATTCTAAAAAATGTTTTTATTTGTGTTTCTTAAATATTCTCATCTAATTCCAGGATAATATTTTATTTCAATTTTCATCCCTTAATCTTAAAGTCCAAAATTAAGAAGTTATGTTGGATACATAAACTTTAATTTGGAATGACTTTGCAATATTTACATTCTAAACGATCTATTTCTTATAAGAAAATAATCAATTTGAATTTTACTATGTAAATTCTTATAAATAATGAGATGCCCCCTCTCTTTTCTTGAATAAAGTATTCTTAATTACAAAATCATAAACTAAAGTAAAATTTAATATGATCCTATTATCTTCATTAATCATTTCAAACTATTAAAAAATTCTTGTAATTATTTTGAAACCTATTGTTAGTACATTAAAATGATGTTGAACTAGCAAAAGAATTTAGTAAAGATATTTTAGTTTATATGTTGGTGGGTTTTGCTAAAAGGCCAAGACCCCACCACAAATTTGGTCCCTCGAGTATGCAAAATTAAACCCTGTTAAGTCCAAAAGGAACCTTTTTGACTCATTTTGTTTATTTAGGGGACTAATAGAAGAGACATGATATCCTGTGACTAAATTGGTCATATGCAGATTGTTGAGGGAGTATTTTTAAATTTACCTCCAATGAGGGAACATTTTGGATCAATTTATGTAGTCGAGGGAATAAATTCGAGAAATGTGATACTTTAGAACTAAATTGATTGTACGAATAGTCTAAATATTTTTTAAATTTGGAATTTTTACATACATAACATTTAAAATTATTGAAAATACGTATTTAACACCTAAATATTAATATTTACTTATCTACCACCTAAAATCTTCCTTTCTTTATATTCTACCACTCCGTTTATCCGCGCGTCGTCTTCCGTTAGTTCGTAATATGCCCGACCCGTCGCGTCTTAGTCACGATCGAGAGCAGATTTGCTCTTCGTCTTCTCCATTTCTTCGGTATTATCGAGATCGGAAGTCCAGATCGGAGCTCGCGGCTAAGGTAACGATATCTATTTCACGTTTTGCTCGTGGATTTCATCATCCTTTCTAATGGTGTTTGATTGAATCATGGGTTGTTGTCAAGATCACGAGATAATCTTCTTGATGATCTGGTTCTTGTTAGTGTTCTTGGGTTGTGGCTTTCTATTTCGTTTCCTAACTTTGGATCTTTATAATATGCTATTTCCTGCTTCCTCTGATTGTTATTTCCGGTATGTTGAAGATTTATTGAATTGAGTGGAATGAAAAGAGCATTTTTTCAACAAAATTTAGTTTGAGAAGAAAGAATAAGAATAAGTGAGATCGGAGATACCTGACAAGAATAAATTGTGCTCACATGCTTTCTCACCCCCTCATCTACTTCTCTGCTATTCTAAAACACGTTGGTGGAGCCTCCATTCTGGTTTATAAATGAGTTATCTTCAATCTTAGCCAAAGGATTTCTTCTATGAGGAGGCTGATCTGCCTTCCTTGCAGATGAGCTCCTCAATCCGAATGGATGCAATGGTGGTGGAAAGCAACTCACAGTCGGCAGTGTTGTCACAGGCTTCTCATGCGTCGTCTTCCACACGGCCGCCGGTGGTCCCGGCTGGTACGTCTATAGTCTATGTTTGGCCGCTGTTGAACTGGATGCTGCCACTGGAGGGCACTGCGGAGAAGGTGGTCGATAAGAGTGACGGTATGTGTAACGGAGTGGTAGATAAGTAAATATTAATGTTTAGGTGTTAGATATGTATTTTTAATAGTTTTAGGTGTTATGTATGTAAAAATCCCTTTAAATTTTTTTTACATTGTATTGGCCAGAATGAAATGAGATTTAATCACTTTTGTTGAGCACCTTATAAGTTCTCATGATGATATGGAACTTGCCGTCACATCCTGTCTCATCTAGATGATATTGGATCATGAAGTAGAAATTGTTAGGTAAATATTTTTAATTAAATTTTGCTTATTTTAGCCAACGATCACGATGAGTGGTAAAATGGATGTGTGAAGATTTAAAAGACACAATTAGGCCCTTGATGGAATTAAAGGTTTTTGATTGCAGATGAAACTTCAAGCGTCACATTATTAAAGTGCACTCTGTATATTTCAGTGAACGCTATCTGGTTCGTGACTTAGAGGCTAGAGTTTTAATTTCAGAAACGATCTTTTTGCTATTAGAGGATGCTGCATGCATCAACCCTCCACAAACCATGGACAATTTTAGGAATCTGATGCACTAGTTACGCCCTTTTTAAAATATCAGTTTGACATTTGTCGTACTCGTTGGACATCAGGTCAACCATGTTTTTAGATATGTTCTTACACTGAACTTTATTCATTTCATTTCGATGGTATAGATCCGAATGCAGGGTATGCATTCCATAACTATGGTATTAGCTTCCCGATTCTGTCACTCAAGTATCATTTCTCGCTTTGAATTGCTTTATTGTGTTTAACATTAAAATTTATTATTTCGCAGGTTGATGCAAAAGTTAAAGAGATATGGAGTTGCAGGCGTATTATCATATGGGCTACTTAATACTGTGTATTATCTCACAACATTTCTCTTTGTTTGGTGAGTTAAATTTCTTCTTTAGTATGTTTGAACTATTTCAGATGCTGGATGTACTTTGTTGAAAAAAATTCTCCTTCAATTCATTTTACACAATAAACATCATGAAAAAAAATGTCATATATTTTAAATTAAGATTCTACATGCCTTCGTCCCCATCCGCCCCCTTCTTATTCATATTATTGTCAGGGAAGTAAACCATATAGCAAACACAAACAAGAAAGAGAAAATACAATGAAAAGAAAGAATAGCATGATTTAATGTGAAATTAAAAACCTATAACTGAGAAAAAAAACCAATAGTACCACACCACACAAAAAAATTCACTATGAATATTTGGGTGAAATAGTACAATTCTTTTTTCTTTCTTGCTCTCTCCTTGTCTCTTCTCACTCTTGCACTGTTCTCATACATGAACTAACAAAGTGACTCCCCTTAAAACCACAAAGGGACACAACACTTGATGAAAAATGAGAAAGAAAATTGCCCAGCCCGCCTCATAGTGCAACTTTGCACTCAATGAGAAAGAATATATTTAGCACTAGTAAGCACTCAATATAAACAAAAAAAAGAGGATCTATATAGTTGAACCCAAATAGTTTGGATTAGGCTAATGATGATGATGGTGCAACTTTGCATCCATATCGTCATCCCTAATAGTTCTTTAACTTGCTATCTTTAATTTTAATTATAGTCAATAATCGTCTCTCAGTTACCCTTATATGGCTTCATGACCACTTCATGACTTTGCTGGTTTCGACGCTCTATTTGGATTGTTTATAGATGAAAATGATTAGAAATCTTCAAATTAAAGAAAAGTTTAATAACTTTTTAAACAAAAATTATAATTCCTAAAAAAATATATTTATTAAATATTTTAATTAAAAACAACCAAATTTCCGTCATACTTAACACCATCAACTTTACCTTTAGATGGTAGGACCAAATATGTCCCATTTGGAGGAGTTGAGGGGCCAAATTGGTCCCTCAAAAAAGTTAGGGACCATTTTGCTCCCTCACAAAGAGTTGAAGGACTATTTTGATCCTTTTTCTCGTATGACTATTGTATAAATTTTATTTATTTTAGTTTATTCAATATTGTAGTTTTTGTCTTCATCACCTATGTATCACACACATAGGTTAAATTGCTAGTTATTAACTTACGTGAGAGCGTTCTCTTAACTCTTTGGAGTGGAAATATTGTAAGGAGTTGGCGAGCATTATTTTACTCTAGTTCCTTCTCACCCAAAAACCCAAAATAATAATGTTATGACTTATGAACATGCCTTCCATTCTATAACTGTTCCTCTCAAAACCCTATTGTCACCGCCTAATTTTGCCAATTCTCCTTATTGTTTTCAGGTTCTATTTTGCCCCCGCACCTGGAAGAATAGGCTATCCAGCAGCTGTAAAAAGGTAGCGAGTTGTCAACTAATTGAGTTATTTCCCAACAAAATAGCAATTCTTGAACTACTACTTTCGTGGTTTCAACTGAAGGTTCTTTAAAGTAATGGCGATGGTGTGGGCTGGTAGTCAAGTCACAAAGGTCCTACGAGTAGGGGGGTTAGTTACTAAAACTCAAATATGTCATCAGCATGTCACTCTTTATGATTTCACTTCTATATTTCTCGCTTTCTTTTCTTGATGACAAATTCTATCTAAAGAGCCTAATTTAATATTTGGGCTCATTGTTTGTTTGCAGATAGAAAAATGTCATAGAAAATGTTTTATTTTTTCTTTTTTTTTCCCACTCATTTTATATGTTAAAATGAAATTATTATATTTAAAGTGGTTTTGAGAGGTTTTATTGATCTTAAAATCAATGTTAAGTTCCAACTAGAACGAATCAAATGATGTGTCAAGCAATTTTATGTGTTTTTCAAAATATGTTTTCTCGCTTCAAGTAACCTTGACTTTCTAAACAAACCAAAGCATTTAAGACAAGTAAAGCAGTTATATGTTCTAAGTAAAAGTAAAATGTTATTAAGTAATAAAAATGCTTAATAATATTTCCTCTAGTGAAACTTAGACATCACATTAATGACAAGAAGTATAACCACCTCTAAGAAACTAAATAAATCTTAATAGATCAAATTGAAATAAAGAAATTACTACTAAAGTAACTACTAACGAACATTCATATGCATTATTTCTTCAACATACAATATCTACTTGTAGGTAACATTATATTGTATGATATAAGTAATTAAAATGTAACATGGAGCATACATTTCAACACAGCAATATGAAGAATCATTTTGCATTTGAGAGATGCATCATTGATGTGACAATATTTAGGGTAATAATAATAGTCTCATGCACATAAACAAAATGAATCATAAACCTCCATCAAATGCATCAGATTTAGAATAAGGAAACTACTTCTCTAATAAAAAAAATGAGATCGCCTGCATTAGCTTCATGAATTTTGAACTAAAATCTTGCCAACCATTTTAAGGTCTAGATCTTCAAAAACCTTGCTTCTCTTTCTAACTCCATGCTTCAATTCTGAACCAATTTATATGCCATGCATAAGGTTAAACACATATCTCGAGTCATACAACCAAATAATTTGAAGTTTAAAATGCACCATACTTGATTTATAGATATTATATAATGAATATAACTACCTAAAAATAACACTTATTTCCTTAGATATTTATTTAAATATCTTAGTGCATATATTTGGATTAGTGATTAGTGATTAGTGAAATTTATTTCCTTACAAAGCAATTCTCCATCCATTTAACTTATACATAACAAAGATCATGCATAAGCTATAATTAGCAATCATACAAACTTATTTAAGCCTAAAACAATTAATGCTAAACTATTTTAATGGATATGCATTATAGAATAATTTTTAAGTAATTACACTAACAATTTGTCCATTATCACATTTAGAGAGGTAAGGATTTAATTAACTAATGATTAAAAGAACCATCTCATTGATCTTAATATATTCGATTACAATATAAAGTATACAATTTAAATAGCAGTATATCTTACATTCAAAATACATATGTCATAACTATTATGTCTTGAGTATAAAATAATAACTAAAACAAAAAGGAACATAACATGAAGAATCTTGATATGATCAATCTCACGCCTGATCCTCTGCCATGACCTGAAAATATTTAATCACTATAATGAGTTCAAAATCCAGCATGTCACCAAAACCTATAACTGAACTCAACACAAGGTAAATGAGTAATATGCATGTCAATTGTCAAATCATAGTAGTTGTATTCATATGATCATTGAATCAATGTAGAAATAGTAAAATTGTATGGTACGGAAGACAGTAAATCAATACGAGTGTCAAATCACTAAAGCATTCGTCATATCAATACTACAATCAATAGAAAAATCTTATAAAATGATAAAATCAAATCATCAATAAAGACTGTCAAAATCAAATTAATATAGTAAAATCATATAGGAGTGTACACATGCTATCCATATAGTCTATATCAGTATTAAATCAGTATCTTAATCACATATTTTTGTTCTTCTTCTTTTCTATCCTTTGCATAAGGATGCATCACAGTGAATTGTTTTATTTGCAGGGCTCTTGCGTTGTGTCCTTTTGTTGATAGAGGACTATCATGGTTCACTGTCAAGTTCAGCTTCGAGTCTGAAGGAAAGGTGTGGGAAAATTAATCCAAGATGCGAGCTTTGACAGTATAATCTTCAAAAAAAAAAAAAAAAAACTGGCATTTAACTGTATATTTTTCTTTCATGCATTCGCAGCAATTGCCGGGCTATGTTTTGGTCTAGCTTTTCTCCTCTTCCTTGGGCTGACAATGCTGTGGGCTTAGAGCTTGAAGTCGGTTCTTCTGCAGATTTTTGCTATGCCTGTTCTCATATATTCAGGGCGACTTGATATTAGTGAGATTTCTTACTCATTGGAGTATTGGAAAAAAATTAATATAGACTTCAAAGATCTAATCCCTCTAACCTCCAAATAATTACTGTCTCATATTTATGAGTTCTCTTAGGACCAAATGTGATGATGGCTTCACCATAGTAGCAATTGATCTCCCACATATAATGGCACTGGCAAAATTGTCATTAAACAACTTTCATTATAAGCGACTAATTCATAAGCCGTTCAGGATTGATTCAGTGAAACCTTTTTGCCTCATAAAACACAAAAGAGAGGCATTTCATATCCACTTATTGGCGGCCCATGTTTGATGCAACTTTGAATTTATTATGATTTCTATAAGCATTTAATTTGCGGCATTTAATCACCTTTTTCGGCTGAAGATGTAGGATTTTTTTATTGTTTGGGACGATTTTTTATTATTTTTTTTAAACAGAATTTTAATAAATAATTAATTTTTTTCTACTAAAATTTTAATTTAAGAAGCAATAAAATAAATCATCCTAAATGAAGCTGTAATCTTGGCCCCTACACTTACTCGAAAATTCTTTAGACATCTCATATTAAATAATAATAATAATGAAAAAAAAAAAAACATTCTCATTATAATTCATGCATTTCAATATTTAATTTGATCATAATAAATTCTATATAATATCAACAAATAAATTATTACGCAGTTCTCAAAATTCAGGCAGAGGCTCAGAGTGGACAATTGTTCTCCTTAACTTTTTTTTCCTAAAAAAATAAATATTTTAATTATTTTGCTCATCTTCAATAAATACATTTGCTCAAATTTTAAGAAATACATTATTTTTTATTTAATATATAAAAGTATACATTTTACAATTCTATTTTATCCATAAAAATGAAATAAATTTGAAATTAAGAACGGTAATATTCATTAAGAAGACCTCTACTCAAAATTCTACATCCAATTTTAATAATAAGTTAATAACACAAGACCAAAAGCATCCATTCATTTCAAAATCACTGATACATAGGCATACAAAGAATTCCAATCATGAAAAACCGCTACCACAGTACAGAATTTTGGCTAACAGTACTTAATAAACACAACACTAATTACAACTCCATAAAGGAAGGATAACTCCAGGCTCAATTCTTCATAAATTATCATTGGCCATCACCTCTCCTTAATAATCCTCCAAAGATATCTTCCACTCGCCATATCCAAAACCATCCAAAAGCCATCTCCAATCATCTGCAGTAGAATAAGATGAGCAATTCATCAATTAATTCGTCATCATTATTTAAACATTCATAAAAGATGCATTGGTTCATTAAGAAGTGCAGGAATATAGAAAGTACTGTTGAAATCAATCCTTCAAATATTATAGAACATACTATTTGATCCCCTCGTTAAGTATAAAAGTGATTGTTGAACCAGATTTTTCAGCTTATTTGTTAAATGGACCTGAACACAAATAAGAGCACTCTCAAATATGTTTGACCTGATTTTTCTAACATAATAAAGATATTTGACCAATTACGTAAGGGCATCTCCAACCCAAAAACCCATTTTTCACTTCAAAATGCAGTCATTAATCTCCAATCGAACGTCATTTCTTCCTTTTTCACGCGCCTCCTACGAAGGTAATCATTTATGGCACTCTTTTTTCCTTTTTCCCACACTTCTTCAGCAAATCCCGCAACGAATTTTTTTGGCACAGGTGAACAGTATGACGCCAATATTAGCATTACATTATTCACCTACCAGAATTTGGAATAAGATTTGGAGTTTGAATGGAACAAATGGGAGATGGCATACAGTGGTATGGAGTTCAGTTGGAGATGGTCTTATGACGACGTATATGAAGTCATATATATGTATATTGCAACTTTCTACCCATCATCAAACTCACTTTAATTATGAAATCATTGATTAACTAACTACACACCAAAAATGAAATGTAGTTGTCCAAGAATTACTATAGATGGAAAGTAGTTGTCTGCAAATTATTGAATTATTATAGATGAAAAATTGTTTTTCATGAATTATTGGATTGATGTGGATGAAAATGTGTTAGCCACATATTCAGAAATATATCAATAGTATCTTATCACCTTGGCACCAACTAATTACCATGCAATTCATACTAAAGGGTTGTTTGGTTTGTTGCATCATTGGTGTATAGCATTCCTTCAGCAAGGGTTTTAAAAAAAATGGCATTTGGTTGGAAGAAAGAAAAAGAAAAAGTGGCGTAAAATTTGGCCGATTTTCAAATACATTGCTTACTGCCACCATTACTCTCAATTCATTACCACAAAAAATTCAAGATATTAAGATCTACAACATGATATATTCAGATCTCATTGAATGCATTGCCGAAAGTGATCATTGTAGATCAACACCATCTAAATTAGCTGAAATATACCATTCATTACCAGAAATTTAGTGCAAAGGCCTCCTGATTTTCCAACCCTGGATTTTGTGATTCTGAGGTTTTGTTTGGGATGGTTTTCTTACTGTTTTTTAAAACAATTTTTTAGTAAAAAATTAAAATTTTTATACTTAAAAAGCTACTTTAAGAAGCAGCAAGAAAGCCATCTCAAACCAAACCTTAGTTGCTTGTACGTATGAGATTGGAAGAGGCTAAGACAATCGATACTCAGTTTACAGGCCGAGTTAACAATTTTCAAAGCAATATTACTATCTATATAACATTGAATTCAACAATCCATTGTATTTTTCTAAGATTTAGGAAAAACAAATTCATCACTCAGATCTTGCAAGTCGGAATCATCAATTCGGATGATGGCTTATTTGGTTGCTTGGAGTAAAAAAAAAATTGTGAAAAACGATGAATTTACTAGATTCCAAATATTTAGTTGGCTGCAGTTATAATTTATGGGAGATTTTAAACTCAACAAGCATCTTCATAGTCCCTAAAAAATGAGGATTTCAATTTCAAGCTTAAAACAAGGTGAAAACAAAACCATCAATTTAATCAACAAGCAACCAAATGAACCCTAATCGTATGAAAACTGGCTCGTGAATGCACAATTCAACCCAGAACTCATGTAGAACAAAATCACTAACGTTATTTTCATGGAGAAAACCCAAGTAGCAAATCTTACCGAATCCTATTAAAGATGAAACCTCCACCAATACCACGAAAATATCAAAACGAATGAGATGCTTTCGAAAACCTCTAAAAAACTCACCCTTCCAACGCGAACGCTACGATATTTCTTCAATTCTCCTTCAGAATGCTCTTCCCTGTCGGGATCTTCCAAGGCAACGCAAGAAGTGGGAGAACGGATCGACTTCCAAGCGAAGTAACCGGCGAGCGTGGCTGAAAGGAACACGAGAATGAACCGGAGGGGACACATTTTGTCGGCGACTTCGCCTATTTCCGCCGCCGTATTTAGATGAGATGGAGAAGGGCCGGCGAGAAGCCGAAGAAAAAACAGAAGTGTCTGCTCTTTTTCTGTGCACGTTGGTGAGATGGCGAACGAAGTGATCGCCAACTGCAAGGCAGGAATATTTCCCTCAAGCCGGTGGCAATTTGTGGGCCATGGAATTCAGGTTTTGGATTATCGCTTGAAATCACATATACAATTGAAAAGAGGGGTTTACCTATTTCCTTAAGAACTCATGCAAATTCTATTACCTCTCTTTCTCAAGCTCTTCAAATCTCTAATTGCTCCACCAATATTTTCTACTTGGGTCAACCTATTTCCTTAGGTAGGCTCAAGGTTTCTGACTTCTCCCCCTTGTTCGAAAAAGTTACTAACATGCTTTCTGGTTGGAAAGCAAAGCTACTTTCTTTTGCAGGGAGGTTGCAGTACTTAAAATATACAATTTCCAATTTGGTGGCGTAATGGATACGGGGTTCCAACATTCCTAAAATTGTTTTGAAAATCATAAATAAAGCTTGCTCCAAGTTCTTATATTAGGGAGATCCTCAGTCCAAAAAGATGCATCTCATATCTTGGAGCTCCACTACTAAGCCTATCACTATGGGGGGTTTGGGTATAGCCTCTCTTCAAGCACTTAGGTCTGCCTATAACTGCAAGACTATTCTCAGACTTTACAACACAGTCCCCTCTTTCTAGTTGGTTGAAAACTAGATATTATTCCCCTTGGAAACCTTGCCCCTCCTTCAGTTCGAGTTACTGGAAGAATTTATGTAGCACTGCAGACTTGTTCAAAAAGAATTTTTGTTTTAAGGTCTGTTCGAACAGTCCCATTGACTGTTTTTGGGATCATTGGGTCTTAAATGATAATCTTTCCTCTATGCTTTCTGGGCAAGCTACTTTTCTTGTTAATGGGGCTAACGGTATTTTGGCAAACTGGATTAATGATGGTGCTTGGGCTCTCCCAACTTCACTTTGTACTACTATTAAAATCTCATTTACACTATTCCTATATCTCATAGCAGCTACTACCACATCACCTGGGAAAACAATGAGAATGCCACCTTTAAGGATTTTTATAAGGAATTTTTTACTGATTTTGATGTGGACTGGTATAATTTAGTATGGCACAAAAACCATTCCATTAGGTATTCCTCTTATACTTGGATTGCTATAAACAATGGCCTTAAAACTGCTGCAGCTTCGGTGTCAGGAATATTAGTATTGAGGACACTTCTTGTACCCTTCGCCATAGTCACCTGGAGAAAACCTCTCACATATTGTTTGAGTGTGACTACTCTTTTCAGCTCATTACTATGCTTATTCCTCAAATTAATTACTTCTACCTGAGACCTAATATTATCCAAGCTCTTCACTTTATTCATGGTCTCTACAATGATAAAGACGTTAGAAATGTCACTCTCCTTATTTTTCATGCTGCTGTCTACTATCTCTGGAATGAACGTAATTCCATGAAATTTAAGGATAATGCTTTGTGTGTTACTTCTTTAAAGAGGAAAGTTATTCGGGCAGATTTTCTGAAGTTAAACAAATGGAAAAAAGGAAGTTTTGTAAAGCAAAAACTGCATTTGTGCTACTAAGTTTTTCTCTATCATTGAGGACCCATAAATTTCATATGCTGAAGCTATTCATGTTCGTCTGTTTGAATGATATTCATCGGGTCTATTACATGTCATGGGTTGGATATCTTATGGGATTTTTCCACAAGGCTGTTTGGAGGGAAAGCTGTATATTACATGCTCCTAAGTATTGTGGGAATTTGTGGAGGCTAGCTTATCCTCACATTTATCTGACTGGAAGCACTATTAAGCGAAGTGGGCTGGATGATGTTTGCTGCCTGCGGAAGGATCTTGCTGTTGATGTTTTTGCTTCATTTTTTTTTGAGATGCCTGTAATTTTTGTCTGTCTTACAGGATGCCTAGGTGGTTTTTTTGCAAGGACGATGATGATTGCTAATTTTTTAGCAACCCCTTGGACGGTCGTTTGGCAACCAGGGGTATTTATTCTGCTCAGACCCGTTCGTGAACTGACCCATTTCGTGAATTGGCAGAACTGCCTGAGTCCTTTTGGCTCTTGAGCCATTCTGTTTTCTTTGTTTTCATTATGTAATTTTGCTTTCTTTAGAACTTCATTTCTTCTTTTTCTGAGAATTGGAGTTATAATTCAGTTTTTCTTACTTTTAATCTTTTTTGATATATGAAAGGGCTTTGCCCCAAATTTTTCCCAAAAAAAAAAAAATAGAGGGGTTTACATTATTGCCTCTGAATTTTTATGAATTTATATATATATAATCTATAAATTTTTATATAATATTTTAAAATTTAAATCACATAAAAATATTATTTTTTTTAAATTATTTATCTCAATTACTCGTAAGAATTTTATGTTTAGAAAAAAAATTATATATATATGGACTAGTATAAGCATTTTGTGAAGATAGAGTACTATTTGGATTGCCAAATTACACAAATAAGCATATAATTAATGCAAAGACTAAGGTTTCGTTTGGTACAAAAATTTTTTAAATTAGAAATTTTTATTACCAAAAATCCGTTTAGAAAGTTATCTCAAACGACGCCTAAGTCTACTCCTAAACCTTTATGTAAGTTAAGTAATAATTTAAATTTGAGAATTTAATATTCATGCTTATCTATGAAGTTACCTTGAGTTTTAGAATAATATATAATGCCTAATTAATAATAGTGGCTAAAGTCTTACTCAAGCATTATTCATCTAGTAAATATTTTTTTGGGTAAGTAATCACCTTGCATGGTTTGATCTTGTGGGGATGTTATTGATGATGGCCGGTAGCCTTTTGTAAGATTAATGGCTAGCAAAAGATATAATTCTTTAGTTTAAAATTTATAGAGGTGTTTTAAAGTTTATGGTGAAATGATTAAGAGTTTAGATGAGTATATTAGTAGAAATGACAAGACTAATCCAATTTGAGATGATTTAGAAGATCACTTTAGGGAGTGGGTTTTATGTGATATGAATGGACATAAATATTAGCTTAGGATGTGAGCCTGTGATTTGAATTTGGTGGCAGATGTTGGTGGAGTTTAAGAGAACGTTGAAGTGTAAGGAATAAGGCTATGTCCATGTGTTTCGTAGTTGGGCTGATAACTATATAGAAGTGTTTATAATAGTTTTATGATTTTAGTTGCTGTATTATTAATGTTAATTGATGCTTATGAAGTGCGGAAAATTTTGAATAGTTTAGAGGTAGTATTTAAGAGGATTTATGAATAACATAATAGAAAAATAAAAATAACTATCTAATCTCATTAAAGAAAAGACATATACTTGAAATAGCCAAACATCAAATAAATGAAAAGAACTTCTCCATAAAATTATTTCATGCACAAATTAAAAATTAAAATGCCTATCATCTCATATTTATAAGCATTATAATACAAACTTTTGGAGAGAAAAATGAAAAAAAAAAAAAAAGAGAGAGGAAAAGTTGGGGTTAGTGTGCATTAAATAGGAGTTCAAACTACCCAATTTTTCAATATCTCATTCATATCTAATCATTTCATGTTTGATCATACAAACTTCTAAATAAAAAAATAAAATATACATTATATTTAAAATATTTAAAAATTTGGGCTCTTTAATGAGCTATTGACTAGGCTCTTAAAAATTGAGCAAATTTTCGAATCCTTTCTATGAAAAATCCAAAATTATCATCTCTCAATGGCCAATAACACTATCTCACATTGCAGTGCTCTTCTAATCAGTTGGGCAAAGTTGACTATAAGGTGAAGACAAAATTGATGTTTTATGGATGACAAATTGGAGAGGAGCAACTAATAAAAAACACAAATAACTTGGACTTTTGGGCAATTTGGATGGTTAGTGCAAAGAGTGAATATATAGGTGGAACCTAATTTGAGTTATCACCTTGAAGAGCTAATAACTCCAAGTGATGATGGGTACCTATAGGAGAAAAGATATTTCTATTCTCTTAAATTGAATGTCAAGGCCCATAGCGTTTTTGAGTGAGACTAAGGTTTTATTTGGACAACTTTTATACTGCTTTTCAAAACTGTTTTTTAGTATAAAAATTATTATTTTATTTTACTAAAAAGTTATTTTAAGAAACAATTAAAAAGCCGTCCCAAACGAAAGCTAAGAGTAAAAAATGGGATGAATAAATTGAAGCCAAGATTGAACGACTAGAACTAAGGATGGACATTTGAAATATGGGAAACTAAATTTGACCATATATTAAGTTTTCTTCATGCCACATCTAAGGGGTAGAAGGAAATTAGAGAAGCTATTTGGTGGTATCTCCATGAGTACAAAGTCTAAGGAGGCATGTAGAGGAGAAATTATTCTGTGCAGAAAAAAATGACGTGGCGCATTCTGGTTGATCTCTGGATGTCTTTCGGAGTCAGTACAGAATAATTTTTCCATGTAAAGAGGTTTTCTGGTGGTATCTCCATATTGAGTGCAGAGTCTAAGGAGGCATGTGGTATATCGTGAGGAAGATAAGGGAAAGTTTTCCCTTTTGGAAAACTTAGTGATTAGCAACATAACTGAAGAGGAAAAATATTATAGATGACAGACAGGGGCTTGAAGTATCAACAAAGAAGGTTTTTGATACAAAGCAGACAATTCGATAGTATCGAGCTACCAGCGAGACTCAGAGAGATTTTGGCTGAACTGAGAAGATGTCTTTGAATTATTAATAAGACAAAGCAGGAGGAGATATATATTAGTAAAGCATCTAGAATGAAACTTGACAAATATGAGAAATGGAATTTAGAAGAGCGTTGTGATAGAACTTAGTCCAGAATCAAGATGGTAGAACCTGATTAGAGTTCCAAGAAGATAACGTCGAATCGTCGATAAGATGCTGAGGAGGATGGTTTTGATAAGGCACCAAGAGGAAATGTTGGCAGAGCCTTAAGAGGGAGCTGTTGCCAAACAATCACGAGGGAGTTGACGACAGGGTGCCAAAAGGAAGCTATAAGAAAAGTGATTATCTAAAATCTAACCGAGGAGATCTAGTCATTTGAAACCTGCTTAGAGGAGGCCATTCATCAAAACCAACATGATGAATACTATAATCTAAATCTATCTTGAGGTATCCAAATACATAAAGCCTTAGTATCTAAAAACTACCAAAA